ACTCTTGCCTTTTTCTCTCTCCCTCTCTATTTTATTGAAAACCTGATTTTATAACTTTTCTTAGCAGTATAGTAGCTGCCACAGTCGTTCTTGTTTCCCACTGTCTGCTGCTAACAGCGTCACTCTGAAGCTCCAAGCAGGAACGAACCATTTAACGCAGATTGGGGGGTTCAGGGCAAAAACGGATGTGTGTTTTTTGGTCTGGGAGGGGTAACATTAAAATTTCACTGCTGAAAACAATCTTTGAAAATACAATATGATTAATTTTGTATTTGACAGGACCCCAATTTTTTTATTTTATGTCTATGAACAAAATATAAATAATTAAATTGTTGAGGGCCCCCTGCTTGTCAGGGCTCCTAGAATCGTCATCACTTTCCCCCCCTTTACCGCGCCCCTGATTACAGGTGTTATGTATATGTGACAGTGTCATGTCAATCTTGTGCACATGTTACACGGTGGAAAATGTGATTTTTGATATTTGGTTGTATTTTTGCATTTTGTATTTTTGTTTTCTCCTTTAACTCCTCAAAGACACTCTGAACTGGTCATATATGAGGCGGAGCCAGTAATTGCTGCTCATGCAGGTGTTGGCAGAAAGTAATTGAAGTGACACCAAATGAGCTCAGGCAAAAGGAAGAGGAGAGCTGATATGGTGGGTGACAACCACAGATGCGATCCAGGCTCAAAACCAAGAATCCCCGCGCTAGTCGCACAGTCCGGCGGAGAGGAGCCTCAGAACACCGGTCCAGAATCGGCCGTGTGCCTGAGGAGTGTGCTGCAGAGATTGCTACGCCCGTGAGCTACACAAGTGGGGCTCAATCAGTGGCTCACAGTACCAAACGTTGCCCTTCACCTGGTGACTAAAGGACAATTGTGGACTCCCGTTTATCTAAAAAAGAAACTGTTTGATTAAGAATACCTCTGAGGATGGATTAGAATTAAATATGTTGAACTTAATGTTGTGTTTTGAGTTGCTTGCTCCCCCTTGTGCCAAAGATGGAGTGCGGGACCATACTGGTCACACACACCCCTTCAAATTAAGTGCCTCAGAATATTTTCATGAATGGACAATTTTGCAAAATTATACACTATAACTTACCATACACAAACTGTACATATATATTTTTTTTCTTTTTTTTTAAATAAGGATTTGTTTTGGCTCCAGTGGTCTTTATATGATAGTGAATCAATAGGAAAACGGGTTGTGAGAAAGGGTGAAGACATGGCTGGGACTCAAACCTGTGACGGCTGAAAAGGACTGAGGCCTGATGTATTATGGGTCACACACTTTATCCACCGCTGTGCCCATTCATGTCTATATCTCTGAACTTAGAAGTAAGTCCACATTATTTTTATCATCATCATCATCCTTATTAAAGACTCAAATTGGTCCATAGAATAACATCCCTTTACAGGACAAGAAAGACGATTAAAAACTGTCCTAGAGCAACGCCATTTTTTTTTAAGTGTTCACTTTCTCCAATCATTTATTTGGTCATAAACCAAATAAATAATTTATTTGGTCATAAACAATCCTTCTGTGTGTGATCATATTTAGTAGTCAGTTCATCATTGATGGTAAACTGACATGATGCCATCTGTAAACAAATCCAGTGGGTTTATAAATGTATTGGTGGTCACAATTTGTCCTGAGGTAAACGCGTCTTACCGGAGGAACTGAACCTCCGACAAAGGGATCAGGGTTTGTTATGCACTGTAATGATAAAGGTTTGGTGAAAAGTAATCAGAAAAAATTGTTAAACATTGTCAGTAAGGAGAATATATTGAAGACACACCCTCACAGCAATGAGAGTTTGTGCCACTATCATTTTAAATATATTAAGAAATATTCCAGAGGTCATGAAAGGTCAACCAGTTCCCCCCAACCTTCTTCAAATCAGATAAAATTGGTGTCCCAAACCCCCACGCAGAGTGAAGTCATCATTCTCTCCAGATGACCAAATCAAGCTCAGTCATCCCTTCATCCCTCCTCCCCTTCATGTCTCTTCCCTTCATCCTTCATCCCTTCATCCCTCATCCATCCATCAATAAATCTTTAAACATACGTATATCTTTGTGGCGTAGTCGTTGCCAGTGAAAAAACAAATAAAAAGTACCCCCCCTTCTCTAAGTTCCTCCTACAAAACTCATTCATTTTTTGCACATTCAATTTAGCACTCTTTATTATCTTAGAAGATCTGACCCTTGTAGCCTGGTAAAAACGCTCTGCTTCATCAGAGCCCCAGGAGGTGGACAGGCAGCCTGCACAGGTGATCGGGCCATTAAGAAACTGGAGGCGTGGAGTGTGTGGAGGTTTTATAGTCAACCCAATCGCCACTGTGAAGTGAGAAGTGAACATCAGTTTCTCGATGGGTTCCTCTTGAATGTAGTGTATGACTCATTAAAAATGTTTTTTCTTTTTTGCATACCTTCTTTGCTGAAGAGGCAAAAATGCCTCACCAAATGTCCCAGGTAAAGCTGTGAGCCTCACTACTGTTAAAACCATGTTTGTTTGTCAATTGTTTCTCTACCTAAATTATATGTTCATGTGAGCATGTCCATTGTTCATGGTTGGGCAAAAATCCTATTCTGTCATTTTACTGGAGTCTATAATCCCAATTTTTCACTTTACTGTTGCATAATTGTCAGTTTTACAGTTGCATTACTACATTCTTTAAAATCAAGTCATGGTTACAATACTTTTGAAGTAAAAATATTCCATCAACGTACAAGGACCATAACTCTCTTTCTGAGATGTACTGGTGACCTTTGATCCTAAAACAGCTTAACTTTAAATAAAATAAAACAAATAAAAGAAATTGAATAATCAAATTATTACTCAAACTACTCATTTATAGTATAGCATACCATAATAATCTGTATGAGAATCAAACCCTACAGAACAACCCTATAATGTGTGCTTACTTATGGTTACAACAAAATACATGGTAAAACCTAAATGATCATTATCTTGTTAGTAGGTTTAGTTTGACTTGGAAGCTTCAGAGTGAACCTTGAAATCACTTATCGATTTTGAGCTGTTATCGTGCAATCCTCATTTAGGCTAATGTGTCAGCACCATCTGAGTCTTTGTTAAAGTCAAAAGTGAACATTGATGTCAGTTTTAGACCCAAACATGTTGGACTCCCATGTCTTTGAAAAATATTTTCATTTTAGTAGGTCTCTGCTAAAATGGTGCTAGTCCCCAGATCACCCACATACAAACATGATATATAGAGTGAAGCAATAATTCACCCATCCATTCTATACTATGTATGTACAGTAGGGAAAATAAGTATTTGTTCCAGCTCTCCTCAGATCTTTGACTAGATCCTGGATGTGTGTCTTCTAAAGTTCAACAGGTTCAAGCAAGTTCAGTAAATCCAGATCATTAGTCTGTAAAACCCAGAATTCTTGCTGGTTGCTAGATAATAAAATATATTTAATCAATCAAATTCTAGTTTAAAGTAAATCTGTTGGGCTTCTCATAAATTATTGATTTAAATCTACACAATGTAATTTTCCATTTTTTTGTTTTATTAATACGTGTCTCACAGTTGAGATGTACTTATAATGAAAATTGCAGAGCTCTCAATTTGAAAGATGCACTAACATGACAGCTGCTGGGGCTGGACTTACTGGAGAGCATCATGAATGAAGCTTCTACAGATATTCCATGTTGAACACTGCAAGGGCAGGGTCTCACAAAACAGGACTCCAAATTCAATAACTTTGGCATCTGTTTTTTTTTTTGTTTGTTTGTAAGCTTTCTAGTTAGGATTTTATGGGAACCACTTTTTCCTCAACTCTCAGTAAGTTAATATTTCTTCTAAATATATATATATA